AAAATGAGACCTTGGTACTTTGGGATTGGTCTTACCTAAGTGGTTTAAATCCACCTTCATCTTTATGAGAGCAAACCTATGACGTTCATAAAAGCTTATGTCCTTGTCCATGTGTTGGGGATGAACATTATGCAAATATTGCTTCAATTTCGTTGATTTAATTAAATAAGTTTACAAAGTTTTGGTGTACATAACACATTGAGGCCTTTCTTCCCCATTGATGATGATGGAAGTGAATCCACATTCAATATATGAATCAACATTCACTCTTTTTATTTATTTTTTGACACTCGTGATGGGCTTCAAAATCTGTGACTAACAAAAATATGAAGTTAATTTCCATAAACAAAAAGTTACTTATCTTTATTTTTAATTTAACGTGACATGCAAAATAATGTGATGACCTGTTTAATATATATAATCTATAGTTGTAGTTTGTAGAAAGATCATTATTCCAACATTTTGAATATGTGGTCCCAATTCTCATCCTGAAACTCAAAAATTTTCCCCTCCACCTTTATGGGGGAATTTTCCCTAGTTGAGCACCTTTTGTATTAGGGTAATGCTCGAGGAGAAAGTATTAGTATAATGTTCTTAGGGAAGTATTCGGGTAATGATCAAGGGGGGAAGTATTAACGTAATGCGCAGTGGGAAAGTATTAGGGTATTATTTGAGGATTATTAGGGAGAAGCATTAGGGTATTTCCCCAAATACAAAAATACTCTTGGGAGAGTATTTGGGTAATGTTCATAGAGAAGTATTAGGATAAAAATGTTCTTGTGGGAGTATTAGGGAACATCTGTTTGATTTCACATACTCTTTTTTTTGAATATCCGGTCATCAGTTAAGATAATATCATGTTTTTTTTTATTAATACATTAGGTACATCTGCATTTGTGCAGCTACCCTAGACTATATGAAGTGGAGTACAGTGTGTCAAAAAAGCTAACTACGTGATGCTAAAAAATCCCCATCACACAGGATGGTTAGTCATACAGAGGCATGTGATAGGCAGTCTGCACTGGCAGACTCCGGATGCATTTTGAGGATATCATCAACACAAGAGTGAATAAGGCAGCAGTGGTAATAAAAGTCCCCCATCTCTTTTATCCGCAACATGAATCTAAAACCTAACCTAACCTTCCCTAGCAATCCTGGGCCTAATATACGCTATGGTAGCCATAATATAGTATATATGTGTTACACTAGGTCTAGGAATTTTTAAGTTTTTGATTTCAGCTTTATTTTTTCTGGACTATAAAATTAATAATATAAAAAGTGGTTTACTGGTGGTCCATCACTACTTATTGGTACTTTCGACAAATAGTTATTATAAGCACTATCATCTCAGGAGGTGGTTGTTGTTAGAGATTCAGCTACTCGGAACAAGTTCCAAGTAGCACGGGCTATGGTGAGTCCGTAACTTACCTGGCACAGGAGCGGGGCAAGAAGCACGGGCTATGGTTAGCCATAGCCTCAGGAGGATGGGCTATATCCAGATACATTCCAGCCTCTCTCATTGTGTAGGACTCTAGTAAGGTGCATTATGGTGAACTGTGTCAGCTCACAACCAACTACTCCTCAGTTTAATTCCAGGCCAGGACGAGACGTTTAGTACCCCAGGATTTAGAGAGTTGTTGTTGGTCGCATCTTGGGTTGTTGTTGTTACAAATTCAGCTACTCGAAACAAGTTCCAAGTAGCACGGGCTATGGTGAGCCCGTAACTTACCTGGTACAGAAGCGGGGCAGTTAGCACGGACTATGGTGAGCCCGTAGTGGACTTACCTGGCACAGGAGGGGAGTGGCATCTTGGGAAATAGCTAGTCGTTAGGTAGATGGATCTAGATGAAGCTAACAGGTTCCATCCCCCAATAATGGGAACATGTCTATCGTCGCACTTTACTGTGCACTTCTCTCTACCCACATCCTTGTTTCCTATCACATTCTTCTTTTATCTTTAAACTCCATCCACGGTCTATTAAATTGTCACATTTATAACATCCCCGCGCACATTGTAAGTAATAATCTTGTATTTTCATCGAGTTTTAATCCCATATGCGAGAATATTACTGCTAAGTTATTTTGTTAGTTTGCGGTAGGAGTAATTTGAAGGCATGAGAGGCGATATATGTCATCATAAAATGCATTACAAGTTGCAAGGTGCGAACAAATGTACTAGTAATGGATTAGTGGAGGAACGGACAAAGCCGAGGTGTATATAATCGTAGCAAATTGACCATCTGTAATTTGCACTTGATGACAATGGATTGCGTAATAAGGACTTTTGTAAATAGTATTGTATACATGTTGACCAGACCACACACTAGAATGTGAAGGGACGACGACGTTTCGGTCCGTCCTGGACCATTCTCAAGTCGATTTTCAAGTCTCAATCGACTTGAGAATGGTCCAGGACGGACCGAAACGTCGTCGTCCCTTCACATTCTAGTGTGTGGTCTGGTCATCATACTTTAGCCACGTTATTGTAACTCATCGCCTGCGTATTGTATACAAGTTCATAAAGCCATCTTTTGTTGTTTGATGCAACTACAATTTTATGTTAGAAACGACAGTCAACGACCACATGGGCACTTCCACGGATTTAATTTATGGCGTATGTGTTAGTTGGAAAGTGCCATAACAAACAGGCCAACCTATCTTCCATCACAAACTATAATCAAATGTTGACTTACGTAGATTTTAATGTCAGTATTTTACTTGTACAGCAGCCGACCAACTCTGAGGATGGGTCTTTTATACTTTATAATAATAAAAGGTTTTCGTCTCATAAATTAATATTATTATATTTTATGGGTTTACCCATAAATGGGTCTATGTAAGATAGTGAAATGTGTTTTGTTTGTCGATTTAGATAGTGCTTACACTACAGGCTGAAATTGAACGAAGCCCGTATCGAGTTAGATTTTAATGTCAGTATATGACTTGTACATTATAAACCAACAGTTTTGTAACCCGTGCTCATCAACAAACACCAAATGCTCGTTAATCTAGCCATCAATCCTCAGTTTATGAAATAAAAACACTATTTACAACTGACGACGCATGTATTTTTCGCAGCCCGTCCTCCAAACAAAACCCTAAAGTGATTCCATGCACCCGCCAAACCCCCTTTTTATGAATGAAAAACGGTTTACACACGACTCACAAATGATTTCCTTCGAACACTTCCGGAACAAGTGCTTCACTGACGAATTTTGTTCGCGCCACAACGCTATAAATGCTTCACCCACGTACTACAAATTCAAATAATCGCCAACAGAACCTAAACACCTAACTTAACCTAACCAACGCCTATATATAAACAATATGCTAATATATTATCATATTAATTTATATTTGAGAATATCCTGCGCGAGGGTCGGAATAACATCCATCGGGCGAGTAGCTGTTGCGGCCTCCATATTCTGCTCTTTGGCAGGCTCAACGATGCGCTTTGGCCTGCTCTGGGGAACGACGCCCGCCACTGCCCCCCGAATGAGAAGGCAGGAGGCAAACCGGGAGTCCCCCTAATATTTGACAAACAATTGTCAAATATTTCCGTTTTGAATGAACAGCATGTCAAAATTTATGAATGCGTCTGTGGGGTCGACCTCTGGATGTAAAGGACTTTAGTCGAGGACGAGTTGCATACACTACAAATACAAATAATCGCCAACATAATTTGAACACCTAATCTAACCTAACCAATGCCTAAATATGCACAGTATGCTAATATATAATCATGTTAATTTATATTTGAGAAAATTCCTAATTCGAATGAAGAACGTTTTTCAACATTGTTGAATGCGTCTTTGGGGTCGACAGCTGGATGGAATGGACTTGGTCTGAGGAGGGGTTGCCGCCTTATCCATGTACTGCAAATACCAATAATGGCCAACAGAAACCACCTAACCTAAGTTAGGTATAATTATTCAGCACATTCTAGTAAGCAATAATATTATCTTATATTTGAGATAATAACAATTTTGAATATACATCATGTTAAAATTAATACATGTCTTTGTATTCGGCCGCCGCCTGGACGAGCCTAGCCTGAGGACAGGCTAGTGAAAATAGTTCAAGTAAAAAAAACACTACAAGGCTTTGTTAAGTGTTTTTTCATATAGAAGCTAATAATAATAAGTTTTAAGTGTAATAAGTGAGCTAAGCTAATAATAAGTTTTTCATATAGAAGCTTTGGTGTAGTGGTAAGACACTCGCCTGGCGTTCCGCGAGCGCTATGTCATGGGTTCGTATCCTGGCCGGGGAGGATTTACTGGGCGCAAATCCTTAACTGTAGCCTCTGTTTAACGCAACAGTAAAATGTGTACTTGGATGAAAAAACGATTCTTCGCGGCGGGGATCGTATTCCAGGGACCTGCCCGAAACGCTACGCGTACTAGTGGCTGTACAAGAATGTAACAACTCTTGTATATATCTAAAAAAAAAAGTGTTATAATTAACACGGTAAATAATAATGCCATGTTCCTCTTCAAAATTGAGTACTATGAACGTTCACCATTCGCTCAATTTGACATTGACATTATATGCAAAACAGTTCGCTAAGTCTTGAAGAGTTTTTAGAAGTTTGTTGTGAGCGTCGCACGAACGTAGAATTTTGTCCCTATTTATCTAATTTTAGTTGTTTTTGATTCTATAAACATAGAGTTCTCTTTAATTAGAAACTGTTTTGATATCAACTGACACTACATGCAAAAAAAAAAAAAAAAAAAAAAAGATAAAAGCGTCCTGTACAAATTTGAGAATGATACGGGATCTTTGCAGGGTTTAGACAGCGGGGTTCCCGACTTACCTCTTATTTTAACTATCCCTAACGAGGCATAAGGTTTATAAAAATCAATATTTATATAAAAATAAGTTATCCATAATTGCAAGTACACAGTACTTGCAATTATATATTGAAAGTACAATATATTTTGCATTTTCTATGACTCGTGCCGCAATAGCGTTCCAATACTTTTCAATCAGTTGCCCTTGACACGCGATGGTGACCGCTGCCGCCGGGGAACTCTCGTGTTAAAACTTATTATATGTGCCGTATTGGGATGTAATAAACGTCGGTTACTGGTTCAGGTGTTGGACAGTACTCACGCACTTAAGTTTTCCTTAAATAGTGTAAGTGAAATGTGTATTATGAAAGTTACGCGAGGAAGTATTGAAGATGCCGGAGTGGGCGGCGAGGAGCATTATAGCCAGACACCCAAGACGCTCCACCTCCTTGGCAGACTTAACACTCGCTCTAATTAAGGTTAGTGAAGGACAAACTATTGATATACCATAATTTTATAGGTATTGTACTCTAGTTACACGGCTCATAGCAGGTTGAGAGAGTTAGGATGAAGTGCAACACATAAGATGCTGCGTTATTTAGACGCCGGCATAATGTAACCTACCTCTGCTAGGTGAGAAGTTGTTGTTTTAGATTTAGGTACTTTGAACGAAGTGTCCATGTAGCACGGACTATGGTGAGCCCGTAAGGGGTAGGTGAGAAGGCAGCGCGCATATTTAATAGTGGGACTAATGTATCAGCCACTACGGGCTCACCATAGCCCGTGCTACTTGGGACATTGTTCCAGATAGCGAATCTTTAACAACAAACAACGTATCAGCCAGCCCGTCCACTCGAGTTGTTTCAATGTAATAAAAATGAGCTGCTAACTATTCTTGATTCGAATGAAAGGTAGCATATACAGTGCAGGTCCTGCTGTTGCGGCAGCTGCAGCACGTGCAGGTCCTGCTGTTGCGGCAGCTGCAGCACGTGCAGGCCCCGCTGGTACAGCAGCTGTAGCACGAGCAGGTCCCGCTGGTGCGGCAGCGGCACCATGCGCTAACGTTGTCCAGGTGTGGCAGCTGCAGCACGTGTTAACGTTGTCCAGGTGTGGCAGCTGCAGCACGTGTTAACGTTGTCCAGGTGTGGCAGCTGCAGCACGTGTTAAGGTTGTCCTGGTGTGGCAGCTGCAGCACGTGTTAAGGTTGTCCAGGTGTGGCAGCTGCAGCACCAGTTAAGGTTGCACTGGTGTGGCAGCTGCAGCACGTGTTAACGTTGTCCAGGTGTGGCAGCTGCAGCACGTGTTAACGTTGTCCAGGTGTGGCAGCTGCAGCACGTGTTAACGTTGTCCAGGTGTGGCAGCTGCAGCACGTGTTAAGGTTGTCCTGGTGTGGCAGCTGCAGCACGTGTTAAGGTTGTCCAGGTGTGGCAGCTGCAGCACCAGAAAAGGTTGCACTGGTGTGGCAGCTGCAGCACGCGTTAACGTTGTCCTGGTGTGGCAGCTGCAGCACGTGTTAACGTTGTCCTGGTGTGGCAGCTGCAGCACGTGTTAACGTTGTCCTGGTGTGGCAGCTGCAGCACGTGTTAAGGTTGTCCTGGTGTGGCAGCTGCAGCACGTGTTAAGGTTGTCCTGGTGTGGCAGCTGCAGCACGTGTTAAGGTTGTCCTGGTGTGGCAGCTGCAGCACGTGTTAAGGTTGTCCAGGTGTGGCAGCTGCAGCACGTGTTAACGTTGTCCAGGTGTGGCTGCTGCAGCACGTGTTAAGGTTGTCCAGGTGTGGCAGCTGCAGCACGTGTTAAGGTTGTTCAGGTGTGGCAGCTGCAGCACGCGTTAACGTTGTCCAGGTGTGGCAGCTGCAGCACCAGTTAAGGTTGCACTGGTGTGGCAGCTGCAGCACGTGTTAACGTTGTCCTGGTGTGGCAGCTGCAGCACGTGTTAACGTTGTCCTGGTGTGGCAGCTGCAGCACGTGTTAACGTTGTCCAGGTGTGGCAGCTGCAGCACGTGTTAAGGTTGTCCAGGTGTGGCAGCTGCAGCACGTGTTAACGTTGTCCTGGTGTGGCAGCTGCAGCACCAGTTAAGGTTGCACTGGTGTGGCAGCTGCAGCACGTGTTAACGTTGTCCAGGTGTGGCAGCTGCAGCACGTGTTAACGTTGTACAGGTGTGGCAGCTGCAGCACGTGTTAACGTTGTCCAGGTGTGGCAGCTGCAGCACGCGTTAACGTTGTCCAGGTGTGGCAGCTGCAGCACCAGTTAAGGTTGCACTGGTGTGGCAGCTGCAGCACGTGTTAAGGTTGTCCAGCTGTGGCAGCTGCAGCACGTGTTAAGGTTGTCCAGGTGTGGCAGCTGCAGCACGTGTTAACGTTGTCCAGGTGTGGCAGCTGCAGCACGTGTTAACGTTGTACAGGTGTGGCAGCTGCAGCACGTGTTAACGTTGTCCAGGTGTGGCAGCTGCAGCACGCGTTAACGTTGTCCAGGTGTGGCAGCTGCAGCACGCGTTAAGGTTGTCCAGGTGTGGCAGCTGCAGCACCAGTTAAGATTGCACTGGTGTGGCAGCTGCAGCACGTGTTAAGGTTGTCCTGGTGTGGCAGCTGCAGCACGTGTTAAGGTTGTCCTGGTGTGGCAGCTGCAGCACGTGTTAAGGTTGTCCAGGTGTGGCAGCTGCAGCACCAGTTAAGGTTGCACTGGTGTGGCAGCTGCAGCACGCGTTAACGTTGTCCTGGTGTGGCAGCTGCAGCACGTGTTAAGGTTGTCCAGGTGTGGCAGCTGCAGCACGTGTTAAGGTTGTCCAGGTGTGACAGCTGCAGCACGTGTTAAGGTTGTCCAGGTGTGGCAGCTGCAGCACGTGTTAAGGTTGTCCAGGTGTGGCAGCTGCAGCACGCGTTAACGTTGTCCAGGTGTGGCAGCTGCAGCACCAGTTAAGGTTGCACTGGTGTGGCAGCTGCAGCACGTGTTAACGTTGTCCTGGTGTGGCAGCTGCAGCACGTGTTAACGTTGTCCTGGTGTGGCAGCTGCAGCACGTGTTAACGTTGTCCTGGTGTGGCAGCTGCAGCACGTGTTAACGTTGTCCTGGTGTGGCAGCTGCAGCACGTGTTAAGGTTGTCCAGGTGTGGCAGCTGCAGCACGTGTTAACTTTGTCCTGGTGTGGCAGCTGCACCACCAGTTAAGGTTGCACTGGTGTGGCAGCTGCAGCACGTGTTAACGTTGTCCAGGTGTGGCAGCTGCAGCACGTGTTAACGTTGTACAGGTGTGGCAGCTGCAGCACGTGTTAACGTTGTCCAGGTGTGGCAGCTGCAGCACGCGTTAACGTTGTCCAGGTGTGGCAGCTGCAGCACGCGTTAACGTTGTCCAGGTGTGGCAGCTGCAGCACCAGTTAAGGTTGCACTCATGTGGCAGCTGCAGCACGTGTTAAGGTTGTCCAGCTGTGGCAGCTGCAGCACGTGTTAAGGTTGTCCAGGTGTGGCAGCTGCAGCACGTGTTAAGGTTGTCCAGGTGTGGCAGCTGCAGCACGTGTTAACGTTGTACAGGTGTGGCAGCTGCAGCACGTGTTAACGTTGTCCAGGTGTGGCAGCTGCAGCACGCGTTAAGGTTGTCCAGGTGTGGCAGCTGCAGCACCAGTTAAGGTTGCACTGGTGTGGCAGCTGCAGCACGTGTTAAGGTTGTCCAGCTGTGGCAGCTGCAGCACGTGTTAAGGTTGTCCAGGTGTGGCAGCTGCAGCATGTGTTAAGGTTGTCCAGGTGTGGCAGCTGCAGCACGCGTTAACGTTGTCCTGGTGTGGCAGCTGCAGCACGCGTTAAGGTTGTCCTGGTGTGGCAGCTGCAGCACGTGTTAAGGTTGTCCAGGTGTGGCAGCTGCAGCACGCGTTAAGGTTGTCCTGGTGTGGCAGCTGCAGCACGTGTTAAGGTTGTCCTGGTGTGGCAGCTGCAGCACGTGTTAAGGTTGTCCAGGTGTGGCAGCTGCAGCACGTGTTAAGGTTGTCCTGGTGTGGCAGCTGCAGCACGCGTTAAGGTTGTCGTCCTATGGCAACTGTATCTTATTTTCTTAGTGGTCGCATTTATATTTAATTTACTTTATATTAACGAATAATTAAGTAGTTCGGCAGAAAATAGATTTACTAGACTCGAGGCGCAACTAAGAAACAGTAGAGCCTGTGTTTACTATATAAAATAGGAAGCAGCGCTTAAAATACACGACTCCAGACATTAAATCAAATTAGTGACATGTTATGGCCACTATGGGTCGCAACCGGGTTCTTTGAAGGTAGAACCAAAATGATAGTATCCGACCCCAAGTCGATAGTACGCTTTCAAGAAAGTGGCTATGTAGTGCATTAAAAAAGGAGGGGATGAACAAAACACTGTTCCTTTCGTCAATGTATTAAATATCTTTCCACCACCGTTAAGTATATATATATGTACACCGTCACCATAAATAATATAAAAAGAACAGATAGGCTATTACTACACCTATGTACAATCCTTTCGCTCAGGATATCAAACGTGCTCACGTGCAGAGTTCATCAATCCCCAGTATTTCTTCACTGTCCAGTAGCGTATCCAACCTTACAGGGAAGAACACAGGCGAGTTCACCTGTGCGTGGGCTAGCCCACTGACATTGTCATGAGGTGCCTGTACCCCCACGACCACTCTCCAGCTACTCGCTGGCAGAGTGCCTCAGCCACACGCCGAGCGGGGTCACAAACCAATACAGTGGTAGCGATCCCCTGTTGCAACCCGTTCTCGCACTTGCTTACTGTCAATATTGGCTTATTTAATAAGTGCATATGTGACATACTAATTGATTGTGAATATTTTAGTTTACCTTGAAAAGCTTCATAGAAAACACCGACCTTACCTAACCTTCTTAGTATGTTAATATAAGCATCTTATTGCTTCTTAATTACAATTATTACTTAACCTATCAACGGTATAGGTTGATACCGTTTATTAAGCACTTGATACATGCAGCCTAATATTGGCTTATGCTTTAAATCGTTGCTTTTAATTCAGTCCTTTTTCTGGAAACATGTCAACGAGCCGTTTTCAGTAAATTCTTAACTTTTTTTTTTAATACTGATGAAGTTTGTTCCTGGAGTTTATTGTTTTGTTTACCTGTATTTACCAACCAATCCTCTAGCCCAATTATATCAGATGCTGACTTGCATAAATTTTAATGTCGGTATTTGACTTGTACAACAGACTGACCGGATGAATCTTTCACACAGTATAATAATATTTTTTTTGTTTTAATATCAACATTTTGTGGATTTATGCATTGGTCAGTGTAAAGTTAGGCGAGGTGTTTTGATTACACTAGTTTAAGGAATGTTTATAGTAAGGACTAAAAGAATGTGGCAAGTTTCAAGTCAGCTTCGAGCATGATCAAGTGAAATATAAACGTGTAGATTTTAATAAATCAATATTTGACATATACGTTGGGAACCATAATGTCTCTTGTTTTATTGATGGGATGTTATTGCTGGT